CATCGACCGCCCGCACCGATCTCATCGCTGGCACCACCGTGGTGAGCCTCTTGTTCTTCTCTTTTTTTAAAAAGAAAATCTTGTATGTTTTAAATAGTTACTTGTACAATTTTCTTACTTGTATTATTGTTTGTTATTATATAGTGCCATGGTTTTGATATTCGCCCCCGTCTGCTCTCGTCCGTTCTGTGATTCGGATGTGGTATATTATCTCTTATAACTATTTGTTTCATTTAGTGTTTATGACAATTATGTTGTCCAACTTGACATAGATACTTTTATCTAGGAGTTATGTGAACCGGAAGTTCCAACCGACCCTCTTGCCAAGAGATTAAATTTAGTTGAAAAAGAAAACAATTATTTAAAAGAAAAATTGAAAAATAATTGAAGAAGAGAAGATGAAATTGGAGTTGCATGTTGTCGATGACGTCGATGATCACAAGATCAAGATGGATGCAATGCTCTTGAAGATTAGGAAGATTAGAAAATATGCCATTGATAAATAGGCTTGGTATCATTTTGTTGTTGGATCAATGTTTACCTTAGTTGTGATTTCGATCGCATTTGTTGTTGCATTTAAATGTTTTATATGTTGGGTAACGTTGCAGAAAATTAAAATTTTTCCTACGGTTTCACCAAGATCCATCTATGAGTTCATCTAAGCAACGAGTCAAGGGAGTGAGTTTGCATCTACATACCACTTGTAGATCAAGTGCGGAAGCGTTCAAGGGTATGGTGATGAGGGAGTCGTACTCGCCGTGATTCGGATCACCGACGACCAAGTGCTGAACGGACAGCACCTCCGCGTTCAACACACGTACGGGACGGACGACGTCTCCTCCATCTTGATCCAGCAAGGAGGAAGGAGAGGTTAAGGAAGATTGCTCCAACGGCAGCACGACGGCATGGTGTAGTTGGTGCAGCAGTTCTCCGTCAGGGCTTTGCCAAGCTCGCACGGAGGAGGAGAGGTGTTGGGGAGGGGAGGGGCTGCGCCTTGGCTTGTGTATTGCAGCCCTCCCCTCACCCCTCTATATATAGGGGGAAGAGGGCAAGAGGGGCCGGCCCCTCTAGAGGAAACCCTAGAGGGGGGGGCGGCGGCCAAGGGAGAGGGTGGCTTTCCCCCCAAGCAAGGGGGGGCGCCCCCTTTAGGGTTTCCCCCAAAACCCTAGCCGCATGGGCCTTAGGTGGGAGGCGCGCCCAGCCCACCAGGGGCTGGCTCCCTCTCCCACGCAGCCCAAGTAGCCCCCCGGGAGGGGTGGCCCCTCCCGGTGGACCTCCGGAACCCTTCCGGTGGCCCCGGTACAATACCAGTACGCCCCCGAAACTTTCCGGTGTCCGTTTAACAACTTTCCATATATAAATCTTTACCTCCGGACTATTCCGGAACTCCTCGTGACGTCCGGGATCTCATCCGGGACTCCGAACAACATTCGGTAATCACATACAAGTCTTCCTAATAACCCTAGCGTCACCGAACCTTAAGTGTGTAGACCCTACGGGTTCGGGAGACATGCAGACATGGCCGAGACGCTCTCAGGTCAATAAGCAACAACGGGATCTGGATACCCATGTTGGCTCCCACATGCTCCTCGATATTGTCATCGGATGAACCACGATGTCAAGGATTCAAGCAACCCCATATTCTATTCCCTTTGTCAGACGGTATGTTACTTGCTCGAGACTCGATCGTCGGTATCCCAATACCTCGTTCAGTCTCGTTACCGGCAAGTCACTTTGCTCGTACCGTAATGCATGATCCCGTACCAGACACTTGGTCACTTTGAGCTCATTATGATGATGCACTACCGAGTGGGCCCAGTGATACCTCTCCGAAACACGGAGTGACAAATCCCAGTCTCGATCCGTGTCAACCCAACAGACACTTTCGGAGATACCTGTAGTGCACCTTTATAGTCACCCAGTTACGTTGTGACGTTTGGTACACCCAAAGCACTCCTACGGTATCCGGGAGTTACACGATCTCATGGTCTAAGGAAGAGATACTTGACATTGGAAAAGCTCTAGCAAAACGAACTACACGATCTTGTGCCATGCTTAGGATTGGGTCTTGTCCATCACGTCATTCTCCTAATGACGTGATCCCGTTGTCAATGACATCTGATGTCCATAGTCAGGAAACCATGACTATCTGTTGACCAACGAGCTAGTCAACTAGAGGCTTACTAGGGACGTATTGTAGTCTATGTATTCACACATGTATTACGATTTCCGGATAATACAATTATAGCATGAATAAAAGACAATTATCATGAACAAGGAAATATAATAATAATGCTTTTATTATTGCCTCTAGGGCATATTTCCAACAGTCTCCCACTTGCACTAGAGTCAATAATCTAGTTACATTGTGATGAATCGAACACCCATAGAGTTCTGGTGTTGATCATGTTTTGCCCGCGGAAGAGGTTTAGTCAACGGATCTGCGACATTCAGATCCGTATGCACTTTACAAATTTCTATGTCTCCATCTTGAACATTTTCACGGATGGAGTTGAAGCGACGCTTGATGTGCCTGGTCTTCTTGTGAAAGCTGGGCTCCTTGGCAAGTGCAATAGTTCCAGTGTTGTCACAGAAGAGTTTGATCGGCCCCGACGCATTGGGTATGACTCCTAGGTCGATGATGAACTCCTTCACCCAAATTGCTTCATGCGCTGCCTCCGAGGCTGGCATGTACTCCGCTTCACATGTAGATCCCGCCACGACGCTCTGCTTGCAGCTGCACCAGCTTACTGCTCCACCATTCAACATATACATGTATCCGGTTTGTGACTTAGAGTCATCCAGATCTGTGTCGAAGCTAGCGTCGACGTAACCCTTTACGACGAGCTCTTCGTCACCTCCATAAACGAGAAACATGTCCTTTGTCCTTTGATCAAAATGGTTCTTCCTCCCACACTTCAGTGTTTGTTGTGTTCCTGACTGCTCCAAGCAAGAATAAAATCTTGAACTCTGGAGTATTCTTAGTGATGTTAGTCTTTGGAGTGCTTGCTCATTTGGAACTTGCAAAATAAACTTTTTTGTTACAGAATATCGAGTTAAGTAGGCAGGACAACATTCTCATGTTTCTGACAACAAACAAGCATATAGAGTTCCAAATGAGCAAGAACTCAAGTAACAACAAAATATTGAACTCTAGGAATCATTCCCACTGAAGTAACAACAAAATATTGAACTCTGACCAAATTTGTGGTCTTCTTGGGCAAATGCTGAATAGAACTATTTTACTAAATTGAATGATAACTACTTGCTGATAGGCTGTAGTACTAAATGTAACCATTTTGTTTCTTGGTGTGGTTGATTGATTTCTGCTGTGTTGATTGCAGGTGAGGAAAGCGGGCATGCTCGGTGGAGTGACCACCTTGTTGTCCGGGAAGTTGAAGTGAAGGATGGGCTTGTCCAGATCATCTCACTCTGCAACATTTATTAACCAGGTGAATGAATAGGTGCCAGCCCCATCCTTTCTGATGTATACATGTTGGTGTTACCTCAATAATTTTGTGTTTTTTTGAAAGGATCAGTCAGACAGTCGCAGACACATGAATGGTCCATACGACGACATGGTCAATCGAATAACCTTTTAGATGGAGGTCAACTATAAGTAACAGTGTGGGCTACTCTGCCTTTCTTGCTCGAAACATTTTGCTGTCCTATTGATGGTTGCTAGTTGGGACATATTATATATTGTCAGGAGCATTCACCTCTGCAGAATTCTGTTGCTGGTAGTTTTCCTTGTTGCTAGTGGCGAGGACTGGAGCAATTAGTATTTGGGATAACATCATCCTGGGGATCTTTACATTCTGGAGGGTCACTTTTTATATTTACTTGTCTCTGCTTTTATTGACTGGACGACCAAAGCGGTCAGCACACCATGTACTGAACCAAAGCATCTACATAGGCCAGCCAACCTGTGATCCTGCTGCAGAGTCGGTCCATGAGGACACCTACGACCAGCGGGAGTTCCCCTGATCACCTACACAATATCGAAGCCGTTTTGGACTTTTGGGGGTGGCCACTATGAATGCTACGGTTAGTGTCTTTCTGAAGATACTCTGCAAAGCTACAGGCCACCGAGCATTCCACTTTATGCAGTGGGCAGACACACATTCAGGCCACATCTCTCATGTAGTACAATCTTACTTGTAATTGCATATTCAAAGTTTGAGATTGCTAACCGGGCCTGCCGCCTGGTCTCGTGTACAATCTTACGACTTGCAAACAAGCAACATATCAACTTCAACACTGTCAAAAAAAGGAATCAACTTCAGCAATAGTACATATTTCAATTTAAATCAAAGATCCAAAGTGATAAAGCAGCCAAGCTTCAACCATTCACAACAAAGAAAAGACCATCGAATGACGACTGAACCTAGCTAACAACACTTACGACTGCTATTGTTCTAACCTGCAAGCATACTCTGTTTTTATAGTGGCCCTCGAAACAGGGTCGATATGGTGTCATCATGGGAACTGTTGTTGGTTGTAGACAATCAAATTCAAATGTGTAGGCTTGCATAATCATGGATGATTTATGCGACAGGATCACAGGTTGGCCCATGAAGATGCCTTGGTTCAGTACATGCTACATGGTCATTCAGCTCTTCCACCTCCACGACGCCGGCGTCGACCAGGCCTTCATCGACGCGCTCCCCGTCTTCCTCTACCGCAACGTCGTTGTGGGTGGGGACGACGGCGGGGGGAAGGACCCGTTCGATGGCGAGCGATGGCGAGCAAGCTGCGGACGGCTGGGGAAGGAGGAGGCCGGCGACGAGGAGGAGAAGGAGGCGGAGGACCCGATTGCTTTTTTGAAGAAAAACTAGGGACCCGATTGCATTTTTAGCCCGTTTATGTGTGGGGTCGGGCAGTCAGATTCGCGTTTAACCCAGGCAAAGCGAGCAGTTTTCACACTTGGTAGTTTTTTGTCATGGATTAATAAAGAAGTGGTAGTTTTCAGGACAAAATCGTAAAGTGATAGTTCTCTGTCACGTTTCCGCGAATTGTGGTAGTTTTTGGTTAGATACTCCATTGCCTGCTAGGTTCAAATGGTGAAGGCGACTAAGATCTGAGATGGTAGGTGGGATTTCTCCGGAAAACATATTCTGGTTTAGCCGCAGAAATCGTAATGCACTCAAATCTCCAATCCACAATGGCAACCTTCCGGAAAAACTATTGCGTGATAGATCAAGAAACGTCAGTTTTCTCCAATATTTTAGAAACGATGGGAAGTTGCCATAGAATCTATTGTTACTCAACATGAGAAAGGAAATGTTCTTCACTCCAAAACACTGAGGAAGTTGTCCCTCAAGAAGATTGTTGCTTAAGTCCAAGGCATACAAGGCTTCCGCTTTGCAGAGAGATTCGGGAATATGACCAGTTATTTGATTGGAGATCAGCACCAATGAAATCAAACCCGGAGTCCCAATGTTTGATGGCAAATTTCCTGTTAATGAGTTTTCGGACATGTCCAAGAAGGTAATATTTCTTGGTAAGTTGGGGATTTCACCAGTTAGTTTATTTGAATTGATAAAGAAAAATTGCAGCGACATGCATTCCATGTTTCGTGGCAACCTACCACTGATTTCATTGTTGGAGATGTGCAGATATGTGACCTTTGCAAATGTAGTGTCGAACCAGTCAGGAAGCCTATCAACTATACCTGTGCTTGATAACTCCACCCGGAGAGCATCCACTTGGAACTGAAGCCATGCAGGAAATGAAGGGCCTAATTGGCAAGAGGAAAGTTCTACTTCTTCTAAACTGAAGGGTGGTATCCAATCGGGATCAACTGTAATCCTCAAGGAATTCCCACTTAAATACAGCGACTTTAACTTCGTTAGACTTGCAAAATGTTCTTCAGTGAAATCACCAGTCAAGTTGTTGCCTTCAAGATTTATCATGGTCAACTTGCCGAGCATGCCGATCTCAGATGGCACAGGTACACTGAGATTGTTGGAAGAGAGATCAAGTCTGCTTAAACCAGAGAGCAGCCCCACCCCGTGCGGTATGCCTCCATTTAGGTTGTTCACAGAGATATCAAGAACGACTAAGGTGGTCAAGTGTGCTGTCTGATCCGGCATGTTTCCGCTGATATTGTTGTAGCCCAAACGCAACACTTGCAGTTTGTTCAAGGGACACTGTGGCATCCTCCCTATAATATCCTTTATATTTCCAACAATTTGACACCAAGAAAGGTCCAGAATTTTCAGACTGCATAGGTTTTTGAAGCTTGTAGTCATCGTCCCCATGTTACGATTAAATGAAAAATCAATGACTTCAAGGGATGTCATATGTGCCAGTGCATCAGGAGCTTGACCGTATAGTTTAGTTCCGGCAAGGTAGAGATGCTGGAGGCCTGTCAAATTCCAAAACCAACCCCTTGCCATCGGGTGTGCAAAGATGTTGTTGGAGAGATCAAGCCTCTCGAGTTTTGTAAGGTTAATATGTGGGAGTGATTGGTTTGCGGTTGGAAGAGAGCAAAACCCAAGATCGAGGGCCCTCAAGGAAGGAACCATATTAACAACATAAGGCCAATCAACTATTGTGCTGAGGTTTACAGAATTCATTCCAAGATACTGCAAATTAGGAATGCGTGCTACCCATGAATATCTTTTGAGTACATATATGGGTATGATTGGCCTGAGAGGTCAAGATGCTGAAGGTTTGAGAGGTTGCCGAGCTGAGGGAGTACTCTGCCAGAAAATGGTATGCCAGAGAGGTTGAGATATCTCAATCTCGTCAAAGAGCCCAAGAACTCTGGCATGCGGCCACTTGGGCCCTCAAGGAAATTCATGCTAAGATCAAGGTGCACTAGACGATCCACGGAAAGCAAAGAATTACTTATGTGGCCAACCAAAGCTGTGTTGTCTATTTGGTGCCCATCGATGTCCAGATGCAGATTACCAAGATGAAGCCTAAGGACATGGCCTGTCCGGTTGCTGCACTTGACGCCCCTCCACTGACAGCAGTCTTCCTTGTGCCAAGAGTGAAGGACGCCCATGGGGTCGCTGGTGATGCCACGCTTGAAGGACAGCAGGGCATCCCGCTCCCGTGGTATGCAGCTTGCCGTCCTGAGCTGAAGTGCATCGGAGGCCAGCAAGTCGGCAGCAGCTAGGACACATATGAGCAGGAGCTTGGTAGTGGTGGTATGCATGGCGAGGAAGACTATGGATCCTTCTTTGTGCCGCTACGAACGGAGTTTCGTGCTAGTTGTAAGCGATTTTGGTCCATGTTTTGACTGAGTCCGGCCATGTCCCTCCCTGACTGACTGGCAATGTGACGGCGACCCTGTGAGCAAGCATGCACACACGTTTTTGGTCAAGTTTTCGTCAGGAATGGAGAATTTTCACACAGATTCCAAGGCCTGAATTCGTCTACGTGTGTGTGGCAGTGCCCAGTCAGTGTATTTGACGGGCGTGCACGTTATGCAAGTTAACACCACCACTTGATTTAATTACTAAAGGTGCAGGCTTTTCCTTCCATTTCTCGGCTTATATATAAATAAGTGAAGATAATTTGAGGGCAGTTTTACTGTTTATTTTAGCAGTCGTCCCTGAGAAGTAGGCTAATGAGAATTTTTGTAGGGTCGTAGAATGATCCAAAGGCGAGGAGGCTTTTCACCTTTGCAGAATTCTGCTACTTGTTTTCTTTGTCTGTGTTGAGAGTTGTTGTTGATAGTTGCTCAACTAGCACTTGATATATAACACCACCCTGTAGTGTCACTTTTTTATATGCATGTGTGCCCCTTCTCCAGCTGAATGACCATGTAGCATGTACCTGTGATTCTCCCTGACGCATAAATCATCCATGATTCTGCAAGCCTACACATTTGAATTTGATTGTCTGCAGCCAACAGCAGTTCCCATGATGACACCATATCAAACCCGTTTCGAGGGCCACTATAAAAACAGAGCATGCTTGCACGTTAGAAAAATAGCAGTCATAAGTGTTGTTAGCTAGGTTCAGTCGTCATTCGATGGTCTTTTCTTTGTCGTGAATGGTTGCAGCATGGCTGCTTTATCACTTTGGATCTTCTATTTAATTGAAATGCGTACTATTGCTGAAGTTGACACCATTTTTTGTTGACAGTGTTGAAGTTGATATCTTGCTTGATTACAAGCCAGTACGATTGTACATGAGAGATGTGTCTACTCTGCCCACTGCATAGTGCTGAATGCTCCGTGATCAGCACGCATCTCTGAACCACTGCCCTTTAGCTTTCGGGATGTTAGACTTTGTAACGTAGCCTAACTGTGTAATCTGTATATTGTGTAACCTTATAAATATATGTGATAGGCCACCCCTAGAGGGTTGAGCCAGTTCCCACAAATTCTACGTTTAACATGGTATCAGCCTAAACCTAGGACCTACTCCACCTCCACCCCAGCCGCCGCCGCCGCCGTGCCCCAAACCCTAGGGCCACCGCCGCCGCCGCTGCCATGACCGCTTTCGCCTCCGGTTCTGCCAGCTCCGGGACCATTCCCGCGTCTCTGGCCGCCCTACTCAATCTTCCCGCCCACGCTAGTGCGTCGCCGAGGCCTCAATTCTTCGGCACCACAGCCGTGGGTTCGTTGTTCTCGGCTCTGATCCCGCCGTCTCCCGCGCCGTCGACAGTGGCGGTCTCCACTGCCGCGATGATGGCGCCACCTGCGGCCACTGCTGGCTCGTCCCCGATACTCGCCATCATGCCGGCGGCCTCGGGGGCCTCCGATGATCAGCTTGCGGGTGTCGCACCCGAAGCCCCTGCGGTCTCCGCTGTTGCTACCACCGACGCCGCCATGATCTCCGGGCCGTTCCACTTCGACAACCTAATCACGACTCGTCTCACGCCGGACAACTATTTTTTTTGGCGCGCCAAGGTTCTACCGCTGCTCCGCAGCCGCTCCCTCCTTGGCTATGTCAATGGTTCCCTGCCGTGTCCGCCGCAGGTCCTCCACACCGTCCACGGCCCGGCCATCAACCCGGTGCACCGTGTGTGGGTGCAGCAAGACCCATGATGGTAAAGGAAGACCAGAAGTCACAGTTTGTAATGTCGGCTTGCAAATCTGCTGATGGCTATGGTACAATGCTGGTGAGTCTGTTTATACCACCAAATGTAGAAAAATGTATATCCTGGCCATGTTAGTGTTGTGTGTGTTGTGTATCTGCCGCAGTTTGTATGTTCATCATCGGAGCTTGTAACTTGGCCACTAACTAATGAATCTTATTCTCGCAGGTAGGGGCCTAGACCCGCAACCACAGGAGGAGGGTGAGAAGAGAGATGGATGGTGTAAATCTGAGCTTGTTGTCCATTTTTGGTTGTTGCTAAATGTGGATGAGTTACGACGGCAAGGGCCCGATTGATGGTTCTTGTTTGGCTACCTTGGCTCATTTTGTATTCAAGCGCACTGCTGCCTCTTAGCTTGTGTGACCGAAGAATACGTGGTGAAGCTCGAGGCCATCATGATGAATGGAGCTGTTGGTTCTCGTCAAGACTAGTTAGTTTGTCTTGGTTCTTTTTGGAACTGTGAATACCAGACACATGATTGTGACTAGTTTGTTGCTTTGGTAGGATGCATTCTTTTGGAGTAGTATCTCTTGTTAGAAACCATGATCCTTGAATTGATGGTACTAGGTATATCTGCTCTTATATATGTATATGTGATACCTCAGTAGCTATACAAATGTTATGCTTGTCCACCTCGAACAAGAAGTTCTCAAATTCGAGGGGCGTTTACATATTTGGTGCTGCGATAGGCTTTCAGGGTTTAAATATGCTCGTATGGTATATCAGACGTGGCAAGCTCTAACCGCTGAAAGTAATGGCAAAGCTTAAGGGTATGTGGAGCTGACAGTTGAAATTTTCTTGCATGCACCTATAAAACAGAGTAGCTACTTAATGTAATCTTCAAGCCCTTTAAATCCAATATGAACCTTTGAAATTGAGATGCCAGCAAATAATTTTCTTATTATTTGAATGGCCAGAAAGTCTCGTTTTCCAAGAAACACGGTTGTGCTTCTCACAGAAACAAATGTGTGCTTCTGGCTCTAAGGGGCACCAAAAATGACCGTCAGAGGTCCCCCACAAGAGGTAACCTCTAGTTAATTGCTCTTAGAAATATACCTTTGGCTCTCGGGCGTATATGCACCTTTAACTAAAAAAAGGTGTATATGCATTTGATATGGTAAAAAAATGGTAACTACAAAAAAAGGTCCAATAGTCATTTTTTAGAAACAAACTTGACCTTCGGTTGTATTCGAAAAAAGTTATTTGTGAAGAAGTTTTCAATTATTAACATTGTTTAAATTCGTGAATATTTCAGAAAATCTGTGAACATTTTTAGGAAGTTCAAAATTTTTATGGTTGTTTTAATTTTTTGGAAAAATATTTAGTAGAATGTCGGTTCCGATACTTTCATGCAGGACCCATGATCCAATCCGATCCTTAAAGGTGGGGTCCACTTCTGAGTACAAAACTTTGGAGCTCTTCTAGGCCTCCATTCCTAGGAGCTTAGTAATTGTAAGGATTGAGTTTTATGAAGAGATACTTTTTTCAAGACCACTTACGAAGAGATTCTTTCAAGAACCCGGCATGGCATGCATCATGATGGGTAAAACGTTGATCAGATACTCATCAACTTCAGACCAGACAATTGTGAGCTTCAAAACACCTGTTAGAAGGCACAAGAATTGCGTAAGGAGGCAAGTATACAAGGGTATAATTGTACGCCGTGGTATAAAAAAATGCATGTTTCTAAAAGTAATACAAATTTCCGAGGGGGCCGTTGCCCCATCCCTCCAAAAAAACATCCTCGTATTATCAACTTTGAATCCCTTACTGATTTTCAATTGCACGCCTAGTTTGCCAACACATTGCTATAGGATTTAAAGAAGAGAATGTGCCAACGGGTTGGTTGTGGTGGCCGGTTGGTATTTTCAATTGCGCGCCTTTACGAATTTTACCATTTTCTTGGTTTTCTCATTTTCGCCTTTTCTGTTTGTTCTTTAGTTTTATTTTTCTTCAAATACATGTCGATTCTATTAATACATGTGATGCATTTTTCACATATACACCAAGCATTTTTTTATATGCATGATGAACACTTTTTAAGAACAGTATTAATACATGTTAAACATTTTATAAAAACACGTAAAACATTTTTTAATACACATTATAATTTTTTTGAAAACATGTGAATCATTTTTTAGATACACGTCGAACAGTTCTTTAAAAAAATACATGATGTACTTTTTTAAAATACCACATGTTCAAAGAGTTTTGAAATACACGTTGGACATTTTTCAACACATGATGAAAATTTTATTACAATTATTAAAACATGTGAACATTTTTAAATGTCACTAACATATTTTTGAATAGTGCAAACATTTTTTTAATAATTGTTTAGATGTTTGTAGGCAATTATGTGTTTAGATGTTTGTAGACAACCCGTTGCCAAGTCGCTTGATCAAACCTTGCTTAAGAGTATCTCGGCCTTCAATAATTCCTCTCCAAACTTGGCTAGGGTGACTACCTAGTTCAGCCGCAAGGAAGTCCGATGATCGAAAATAGATGCTCTTTAACAAA